TGACAACCATGTCACAAAGGAATAAAGTTACAAATAACTAAATGTTATTTCGTCAAATTTCGTACGTATGAGCTTTTACTAACCGACCCATTGCCTGTGTATTAACCGAACTAATTGAAAATAAGTTTATTATCTCACGCCTCAAGTGAGACTATATTTACCCAGACGGATATTACGCGCTGACCCGTTATCTAAAGTATTGTTGATCGAAGAAATTCGTGTTCTAATTTGTAATCACACTGCAGATTTCGAGGTGGAAGGTGAGTTTCGATGTGAGACATCTATAGGCGCACGTAAAACCGATTTCTGGCGTTGCGACTCATGCCGTGGCGACGCGTCGCCACGCTATATGATGATATATATACATTTAAATATCTACAGTCTATATGCAGTAGCCTGTGTGGCGACGCGTCATGCGCAATCGAATTCGATTTTTGTATTTAATAAAAATAAATGTTTTAATAAATAAACAGTCATCATTTTCTGAAAAAAAAATCGTGATATTTTATTTTATCATTATGTCAAATTTAGTTCCTATCGCAATCTGTTCTTTTCTGCATATTACTTTTACAAAATAATGTCGATGTTTCACATCTGCCAGGCGTCCCGTGACGTCTCACATAGGGATGTCGAAAGTTGAAAAAAATATCGATATATCGGACCAATTTTCCCAAAAAATATATTTAGGTCAGCCTTGCACAGTAATAATAGTTCAATACAAATTCCAATTAAAGAAAGAATTATCAACATACCAAATTGCCGCTACACTACATGACAGTACAGTATCTCACGAAATATGACACGCGGAATAATAATGGATCGAAAATTATCTCCCTAAAAATAGACCCTATTTTCGAATGATGAAAATGATTGCAGGGCTTCTCAGGTGCCATCTTTCGTAAACAAGACTAGACAGTCACAAACTTCTACAGAATATAATGGAAATCAGCACAACCGATTCACCAGCGAAACAGATTTACAAATAATAGACAATACTAAATACAGCACAGATCATAGATATATATCATAGATATATGTTGAATATCATTAATCTGAGATCCAGTTACGATTTTTCCAGATACGAATTTAGTTAGATCGTGATATGCCACTAATAATTAAAAAATATCGTTTTTCATACGAATTTCGATATTGGTTATTTTGTATCGATGTATCGATATATCGAATCAAAATATATCGGCAAAAAATATCGATATATCGAACATAAAATTTCAACAAGCCTAGTCTCACATTTTTTTTCATACAGAATAACACTGCAGGCCCTGTAACGTAGGTGTGTACTCGAAAGACCGATTAATAGCTAATTGTAAAGTTGATTTATATTGCATTTCGTATTTTATAGGTATATATGAAATTGGATCGCTATTCGAAATAATAGTAGCAATCGCACTCACAGACTTTAATTTTTACTAAAGTTAATAGGTACTGGTCTTTGCGATAACAATAGATTGAGATAACATGTGAATTATTGAAGAATTAAAGTAGGTATATGTTACCTGTAAGAGATTTTCATGTTTTTCATGTTTATTAGGATGGTAGTAATGGCGGCTAAGGGACGGAATTCCTAGATTGGAGGATTAATACGTTATTTTGGCGAAAAAAATCTGGACTTTTTTATAAATAATTTTCCACCATGGCAGTTTTCAATGCTAGTTTTTTCCCACTATAGTAATTTTCTACGGTAATTTCTCATATCCACGGTAGTTTTCCTATGGTAGTTTTTAATAATCCATGTTAGTTTTTTATGGCAGTTACCTTCACCTTCACCTATATAGTTTTCTTACGGTAGTTTAATGGTAGTATTTTCGCCCATGGTAGTTTTCTCTTTTACATGGTAGTTTTTCTGTGGTAGATGTTACTCAAGCATGGTAGTTTATTTAATGGTAGTTTCCTATGGTAGTTTTCTATGGTAGTTTCTTATAAAAGTGTTCGCGTATTCAAAACTTGCGTTAGCTTTTAACTTTTGTGTCCTGTTTTGTGTGCAATAAGGAATTATTAAGGATAAAGTTGACGTTTCTGAATACGGTGTTTGCCCAGGCCTAATAAATTTCAAGAAAATACATGCATTTTCCAGTTGTAATGTGTCTTCATCTGTATTAGGAGAACATAAACTTAAGAATACATTTTTAAAACAGGTCCCCTTTGTTCGTCCTTTTCACTTTGGCCTTTTTTTTCGTTCAATAAACTCCTTATTGAACACATCATACACTGTAATTAACATAAGTACATTGTAATTATTGTGCGTACAATGCATCGTAATGGTCCAGGGCGCCAATCGCTTAACGGAATTGCAATGGCTATTGCTATCGCTTACGATAAGTTATTTCGGACCGCCGAAGGTTTTTAAAAACCTCACGCTCATTTTCTTTAATATTGTTATTATCAATGCAAAAGAAAAAAAAGAGCGTGAGGTGATTGAAAATTTTCGGCGATCAGAAATAACAATATGAAACCGTAAAAATAATGATTGGACGATTCAAAAGTGTTGTACTATACATCCAATTTGAATAAAGATATATTGATTTCTGATTTCTAAGCGATAGCGATAGCCATAGCAATCCAGTTAGGCGATTGACCCTCAGGTATATTAAACGAATTTAATGTCCATAGTTCGCGGATCGATTGTAATGGATGCACAAATAAAAAAAGTGCGTGTGCGTGAGAACAATGCTTTGCCCCCTTTTTCTACCAGGGATATATGGGTCGCATGGAGATATAATCTTCCGAGAGGACTACAATATTATTGTGTTACCCCCACACTCGCTGGCGCGGTGCGGAGCGATGGCGGGCCCACACAGACGTTAACACTCTCCCTATGTGTGAAAGTGAAATGAATACTGGATACAATACAACAGCGTTACATTTGTACCTTTGTCATGCCCATGCCAAAGTTAATACCATTATAATAATGCTATTAAATAAGAAATGTAAAAATATCGACATTCTGGCAAAAATCTCAATCTTGCCCGCATGTGATGGGTGATGGTACAGGTTAAGTTATACGAAACTGACAAATTTCACTGACTTTTATACTGTTTGACATATGATTTCACCATGTATAGCGAAAATGTTGTGGTGACTTTATTCGTGCTTTTTTGTGCATATTTGGCCTTAGATGACCTTTACAGCGTCACCGGGCTTGGGGACGGCGAGATCCTAAGGAGACCTCAAGCCGAGAATTGGCGAGTGCCTCTAGAGGTATTCCAGGCGGAGTTTTCTCTCTATCTGGAGCCTCTACACCACCCGAACTTTAGGTGGTTGGCTTAATTAGAGGGCGTATCTGAGACTCGGACCTCGACTATAGTTAACCGTTTTCGTGAGGGGCGGGGAAAAACGCCCAGGTTCAAAATCTGTACTGTAAGGCGTCATATGTAGACCGGATCTTAGCATTATTATCATACGGGTTTATTCGTGGCTGTGTGTACATCGTATTAAACTAATATCTATCTAGCTTCGAAAGCCATAGACAACGCTATTAAAAACCCTAATAAATAAGGCAATATTTCAACATTCAAAGTCACCTTTAATAAGCAATATATAAGGTTAAAATTTAAACGCGAACCATAAAGTCTTAAGAATTTTTTTTAAATACAAGGTCGTAAGAATTTTTGCTACAAATGCGTTAAATTAATAAACATTGATTTAATATCTGTCAAAAAAACGACACAGACGTATAGTTGTTGCATTTTTTCACGGAGCTCTTCAGCATATGAAAAGTTACTAAGGTAATAACTGTCCGTGTGAAACTGTGAACGGAACGAAGTAGTGCCTTTGCGTTATTTTATTTTTAGCACGACTTGCTTGGGCAACACATTTTAAGCGCTCAGCGCATATTGGGTTATTTAATTTCTTTGGCCGTAGGGAAGAAAAAACGCTGACGTGATTTCATTATTTGATTATTAAATGAATTTAGTGGTGAATACTCCTTTGATAGTGCATTTAGCCATAAGTAGATAATGTTACCCGAAACTGTTAAATTACATTATCTGACTTTGAACTTAATGATACAGAGATTTGGACTGTCCATTTGCTAAATGCTAGAATGTGCTGCCGCGCGGGCGATTCCACCTGAACTGTGACTTAACACAGGGAGCACGGGAAATCTCGGAATTTTAAAGTAAAGCTTATTATATCGACGTCACAACTTCGGAAATTACTGCATCTATTTAACATAAAAATAAATCTAATATAACATACGTAGAAACTTTGATGCTAGGTATATTTTGGTGTGACATTTTGACCCTTTTGTGTTCTCTTTTGCTTTGAACGCGGGTATATTTTTGTGCATAGAACTTCTTTTCGTTCTGGTTCTTAAAATAATGCTCGTTCACGCAACCTATAATGTTCGAAAGGGTTAACCCGTTCGCTTGCATTTCGTACACAGCTACCAGGCGCACATAGTCGAGCAGAGGTGGCCGATATTCAAACTAAGTAATAGGTGACTATTCTACATGAGAAGGTATTAGAGACACATAACAATTGACGTCATTTCATTACCGATACAGGTCCTATAATGTCTATACTCTGAATTAGTTTTTTAAATTAAATTTAAAGTTGTTCATTTTGCGTGCCCAGTCATTCTATACAAAACCAAATGAATACGAAATGTAATTCTTTCAATGTTCACTCCCTAATGCTTAAAATCCGTTCTTCTTTTAATTGTCTACATGGTTAACGCGTACTGCAATAACAATACAAACATTAAAACAATACGATTGAGACGCATCGAGCCGATCAGAAACTGTTTTAACGCAATAACCTACACGTTAATGTTTTTATAACGCGCTTCTTCGAAAGACAGAGACCGAACGATGAATTGCCATGCTCCACGTCTACTGTAAAATGAACTCTCGCCCACACCAATATAAAGTTTAACGAGAATATAAGTTACGATAAATGTGTAGTGAGGTAAATCCATGAGTAAGCGGGGGTCTTTATAAAATGGTTGTTTTACAATGGGCGGTGTACGTAGGGCATTGCACCTCTTAGCGCTTCTGTGTCTCTGGTGCATCGTTCGGGTTTGACGCATGTCACTGCTTCGTGGGGCGTGTGCGGCGACTGGCGTTGGCACGGACTGCCGTGTAGATACCGTGACTGAGCTAGCGTTAGCGTTTATTTAATTGTTGACATTATTACGAACATTTTACAAAGGTATTTTGAATGAATTTTGCACTTTAATAACAAGTTATTGGTTTTGAAATATGATAAATTAGTATTGCGTTATAAAAGAAAACAACTTTATGGAATGGTTATTGTTTGATTTACAAAAATTAGTTTTACTCTAGCTCACATGTAACACAACATCTTGTTAATTTTACCGGTCCGAATGAGTATGTGAAGCGGACATATGTCAGAAAGGGTTGCACATGTGGGCTGTAAGTACCAGGACGCTAAAGGGTGTGTGGAGATGTATCGTGAATCATGTGTTCCCACATAACGTTAGGGGTGCAGTTTGAATGTATGGGTTACAGGTTGTCGGGTTAGGGAAGCGAAGGACTCGACATAAACACACTGACACACACATCCTTATGCTGAATGCTGCTTCATAGTCGCAAAGGACTAGGAATAGGATATTATGCAAATCGTCATGTTACGTAGTATGACGTCTTTGCGTTATTTGCTACGGACTAGATACGCGACATATTCGTAGCAATATGCTACGGAAGCTAGATTTTTGCACAGTTCCGCGAATAGCTACGAACGCGTTTTATAAAAAGTTCACAACGATTTTGTTTCTTCTGTATTAATAGAAAGCTTAAGGATTTATGGCATTGACTCCTTATCATTATATACATATAGTTTAGGTATGCCTGATAAACGACCTTGATGAAATTGTAACTATGCAGTGTATGTAATCAATAAAAATAATGTTTGTTAGGATATTGAATCTTCTAGTCAAATTACGATGAATTTCGATTCTAATTTTGCGATAAAGTAAAAAATAATATCTTTATATTATTATTACGTTTCTGTTGATTAACAGTTGCTGCATTCGATTATAGAAATTATTGTTAAATATTATTTATTTAAAGTATTACAGAATGTTGATATATTGTAACTTCAGCACTTTCAAAGCTTAAGCATTAAAGTTTCCCTTTTGTTTCGCAGTTCACACTTTCCAAGAAGAAAGTAATGGTGTGGCATTCCATTGAACCAACTTAGGTTTATGTTCGCCTGGTAGTCGAGATTCAAGTGAGGCCATCTTTGTCGCTGAGAAAGTCTTACCAAGGTTGTGCGGTTTTTGTTTTTGTTTCAACTAAAACAATATTTTGTCTGTTCTTTGCCAAATGACGTAAGGCTTCATAAATAATTAATAGGATTTTGTTTCGTTTTAAATGGTTATAATTGTTCTATTAGACCATAAAAAAATTATTGTATTTTTTTGACCTGATTGATAGTCGTTTTCAACTATTCATCTTTATTGATTTTATATATAATTGTGTATTGCCATGTCTAGACAATGCTCGCATGACAAATCAAAGAAAAACACCATTTCTCTCCTCTTATTGAAGTTCTATAGCGACCAATATTCTGATCCGACTTGTCGACACGTCCCATGACCTCATTATATTTTCTACTATTGCAGGCTGATTTAAGACATTTTTTTGCTGCTGAGACCTTAACCTTGGCAACAGGCTGGATCTGAGATGTATTTGATGCAATAGTCATAACATTATTGTCATTCCATTTGCTCCACTTCAAGGTTTGTTCCACTGTAGTGGACTGGTGCTTGAATGTTCCTCGTGTGAAAAGGGCATTTTGCCACACGATTTGTTCACGGCGTGTTCCAGTGGCCCTAATATCCAACCATGGCTCACATATGATCTGTATGTCTAGTGCAATCCAATTGTAGATTTTATGGGAAGAAGAACTTGAATCTGGGCCTTGTTAAATAGGCACCCGACATTTGTGTAAATGCCACATCATCTTCGTTAAAGGAATGATGGATCTCTCTGTTCTCAAAAATAGGAACCGAGCAAGTTGTGCAAAGTTACCTGATTTTCATCATGAGAATCCTCGTTGGTAACATCAGCGTTACAATTTTCTGATGGCAAAATTGTTATTGAATTAGGTACTTCCTCTTCCAGCTCTGAGATGATTTCATTTAACGTTAGAGGACGTCGATGCATGTTGCATGCTCCGCACCCTAAAAATATAACTCCCCACAGTAGTGTATTTTGCTACTGATCGTTTAAAAGAACGCTAATTAAAATTGTATATAATTCCGGTCTAAATATAAAATCAATATCAAATATTCATTACATTCAATAATAAAAGTTATCTTCTACTTATTTTCCACCAAGTATTTTTGAAGTTATACTTCTTTAGGCGCGTTATGAAAAATTTATGAGAGTGAAATTTTAAGATGCGCGCGCATCACTGTAACACAAAATTTTAACATAATGAAGTTGGTCGCTTTAGCGACCAACTTCATGCGTTACTTTTGTGTTTACCGCACATTAAGAAAATCTACCAACAAAATAGAAATAGAATCCCTATTTAGTGGGTACTAACGACTGCATTGTGAAGGCCTATCAAAAGTATTTATTAATCTGGAACAACGGAACCAAAGCGCGATTCAGGAGACTACAGCGCCATCTCTTGACCATTGGTGTAGTAGAACCAAAAACCACATCTTTATTTTTCAATGTTTCTTTTATGTTATTATTGTAATAAAGTAACAGTTATAGGTATTCGTATTAATAATATTTATCCACATGTTTCTAGTTTGTATATTCGGAATACGTGTTTGAGTTTCATACAAGTGCAAATCACATATGTTCTAATAAATTGTATTCAGTAGCGATTTTAATTGAATATTTGGATTATTTATTTATTTTTTCAAATTAAAACTGAACTTTATTGACTGTGTCCTTTTCCAGACTTTTTATTAATTTAGTGTAATTAATTATTTGCATGCAATTAAAAACTAATTTTAAACGATGCCAAAGAAGGATAACTTCTCACGCGCCTACATAAGTACACGCACCCATTTTGTTTTTTATAAATACATACCTCATAGTTGCAGAAACGTACACAGTACTACACAGTACCTTATATGGCACTTTTTAAAATTATAAATAAAATATTAAGTAAAATAAATAGGTCTAAAAACACTAACAATGAATTTTGTGTCTGCTCCGTATAATAAATCATTTCTAAGTAAGCGCATTGTGTACAATAATTTTATTTATCCAGTGTTTTTTTAAAAGACCGATACCAACAAGTGAGTTAAATTGCCTAGAGAAAAACACATACCTACACATGAACATACGTTTAAAACTTGCTAAATCCTGTAACTTTATTGACACAAAGTCATTTCTTTAGCAAAGATCACTTCGATGTAAGTACTCATTGAATAATATTTAAAAATACAACTTTTATGTTTATGAATGAACTAAGTCAAAGAATTTAACGTTTCTGCTTTCACAAATCCGGCGTCCAGCATTAATTTAGTCAACAAAACCGATAAACGGAAACCTTTCTACAAGATACAGTGCAACCTTAATATAACGTACCTCAATATAACGACTTCCTTGATTTAACAAATTCTTCGTAATCCCCTTGAATTTTCCATAAGAGTCAACGTAAAATATACCTTTACATTGCGATCATTTTTTACGAACAACCTCTTTATAACAAATTTTCAACTATCACAAAAAGAATAAATACCTCTTATTAACGAATTTTGTCAACCAAAAACCTCTATATAACGTTTCCATCAATATATGACCCTTAATTCCATAGTACGTGATTCATGTCACGCCATGAAACTATTTTTTTCACCTCTTTATAACAAATTTTAGACCAACCTAACCTCAATATAACAAACCTCAGTTTAAAGAATTACTCGATATAACGAATATTTACTAGTTCCCTTCCGATTTGTTATATCGATTATATGGATTGATGACGAAAGAAACCACAGTAACATTATAATGAAGTTTAGTTGTTTACAAATTTTGTGACGTCACAATCATGGTGGAGAGCGTTTTTAGTGTTTAAAAAGCATATACTAAAAAGTATTTTTAAATTAAAATACTACAGCCATCTTCTCATTTTATGAAGTGAAATCGATGTATTTAGGTTAATCATACCAAAAATTATAAGAAATAAACATTTGTATATTACAATCTGACATGAGTCAACTAGCCTATTATGTATGATCCCTTAATTCTATCGGTTTATGAATGATTTTGACGGAGTGTATTCAAGTAATAGACAATTATGAATATCAAAAGTTCTAATTAAAATTTTATAAAATAAAACATAATGTAGTATTAAATAAAAATAATACTTAGAGAACACTATATAATGATTGGCCCTTTAAGCGGAATTCTTCATTTGTTTATCTGATGTAAATTCATTATTTTTAGTTTTCTATTGAATATGGTTGATTATTGATATATCCACAAGGCTATGAAGAAGGGGTTAAGTAACAAAATAAAACGATTTTAAAATGCTCATAATTAATAAAATATTTCAAAATCAACAGAAAAAGTAGTCGAGAACAGCGTGAAGAAGGCGTAACTGAATAATATATAAACTTGTGTTGTAGTCTCAGCGAGTCGACTCGTTACAAGAAGGTTTCCGAAGGGCCCTTTGCGTAAGAATTCTTGGTCAGTCATGTAATCCTGGTACCCAAAGTCATTGGGAGTGACATGCCCATTATTTCTTGTTACAGCGATCCCTTTCTGTCATTTACACCTTCGGTAAGGGCTACAAGGCCCTTTCTAAATTAATTTACATTTTAATTACTGTTAATTAGATGCTTCAAAGCTATTGTTTTTAACTCGCCCTATGTTGCGTTCTCTCTTCTATGCCACGAAGGGAATGACTGAAATCTTTCTTAGTTCTCCGAGTATGTTTAGTTACCTAGTAAGCAATTACGTAACATGCGGATTACAATAAAGTTGTTGTTTGTTTTGTCAATAATATTATTGTCGAGCCCTTTTAAATTATTTATAATATAACACAGTTCACTAGGAGAGCACGAGTCTCGTGGAGATGTAAAGAGCCATCGAAGGGCCTGTCAAATTTCAAGGTTCGGTTACGCACAGGGCGTGGCTTCCTCAGCCAATCAGAGGCCAGTGGCTTACGCAAGAAACCACGCATTGCGCCGCGAGGCGATACTGCGGATACCTACACGAAGAAAAGTATTTTTTCTACTTTAGAGGATGAGACTCGTCGCACTTTTAAATTAACATCTACTTACATTATTAAAATTGTGTAAAAAAAATGACGAATGCGTGATTTCGCAATTAACAGAATAAAAGGAGAGAGAGGGTAATTGTGTAACATTATCGCTTTCCGCGATCTCTTTCATTTCATAGTTGGGGAAAGAGATATTTTATGTCACGTTGACACTTTTCTTTACCATTTAATAATAAGGGAAATACGTGAAACTTAGACAATTAGCCCTACGATTTTATTTTTTTTCGATGATCACCCCTGGTGAGTATTCTGACCTTTTTGTCAGAAGAAACTTTTTGTCATTCGTATCACGGCGTATCTAGATACGCGGCAGCGTGTCAAGCCAAGTTCAAGCAAAGGAACTGGCTAGCCAGCGCCAAGTGTAATATTACACGAACTACTTGGTGCCACTTTTGACCCTTCTATAACTCAAAACCTCTTTAACGTAAACACATAAAAATACATGTGTTTAATTATATCCATAAGGACATCTAGAAGCCCAAATTTCATAAAGCTAGCTCAAACGGTTATAAAGATACGAAGGTCAAAAAGTCGAAAATTTTAACACTGACTGACTTATAGTATCTAAATCTAACCTACTTCCAGATGGCCAAGTCAAATCTAACCTACTTTATGATCTCATATTTTGAAATAACAGCAATAGGATGATGACTATTTTTTTTCTTCGTTTATCAGGTAGATTTTCAAAAAGTATTGGACACGTATTTTTTCTTTACCACATAATATAAACATTGTAGAGATATATTGACTTGAAAAGTCACATGACGTCACGTTTTGGTACAATTTTCACTTAAAAGTGACGTCACGAGCCCCTACTCCCAAACTTTGACGCGCTAATTTTTTTATTTTTTTGGTTGATTGCCCAAAGAAAAAATACGTGTCCATTATTTTTTGATCATCTAACTGACGGACTAAATAGAATTTCGTTTACTGTACTCCGTCATCACCCCTATTGTTATAGGTATCCAATAAAGCAAAGAAATAGAGTTTAATACTTGTTCATAATGTTATTTTGTTCCTATAAATACATATTTGGATTTTGCATAGAACTTGGCATTCATTTAGATCTCCATTCTTTTTGCGGCGAAGCCCACAGCCAAGCATAATTTTTGGACTGAACTTGGCTCTCTTTTTTACATTTATGTTTTTGTTGTGATTGCCGTGACTTCAATACAATAGAAGTTTCGCGTGAGAGTGCAATTAGCACTTAGTTAGTTTTTTTTTATACAGATTAGCGTAGTCGTATAAAAATATTATACCGAGTTTCAACTTTATCTCATAGTTTACAATCAATTTTATTCATTCGTGTTCTTGAGACTAAAGAGAAAAGACACTTGGTGCTCTTGTGTCCTCATGCTCTTGAAGGTATTTCGGGCAGATTATAATAGAGAAACATTAAAACAATTGGGCTAGGGCAAAATAAATTTTGGGAAATACTGATACAGAGGACTAGCTTGTATTAACAATACGCCGAGATACGAATCACAAAAAGTTTATTTGTTATATGCTTTGGGATATAAGTAGATACATTGTTTTTTTGTATGCCTTTTTTATTAATTTACGTTGTAGTATACGTTGGCTACAAAAATGAACATACCATTTTCACCCTCAGATTACAGAATTGTCCTAAAATTTTGAGTTTTCACATATCTACCTATTAGGTTAGTGAAATAACAATCAAAAAACTGAGGCGCTATGGTTCCACGGCCTTCCAAGGCGACGGGAACCACCCAGCATCCGGATACGGGTAGGTGACGCAGAGGTTCAGGTGGGGCCAAATATCAAGTACCTTGGTCTCACCTTGGACAGCAGGTGGAGCTTCGAAGAGCATTTCGTGCGGTTGGTCCCCCGAGTCAAAAGGGTAGCGGGTGCCTTACACCGCCTGCTGCCCAACCTCGGCGGACCGAGGGACGGC